GAAACTATGAACCAAAGGCCATAAAACGTTATTGCAAAATTAAAAAATATGTCATTTTGCGTTCATGTGACTTATTCAAAATGAAAGCCCTCTTATACCGTTCTTGTCTCACTTATCAAAGCAAAAATGTACAGTTTTGAGACCTAATCGGTAGATAAAGTGGAAGTGAAATTTATTTACCAAAAATAGCGATAAAATGAATATTAGAATGATAAACAAACAGGAAAGCCACAGAAGCAAGCTTGAGCAGTGAATCTGCTAGTTTCAAAATAAAACAATATGTTGACAAAAAAATTGATTTAATTTTTAAATCACAAAACGTAAAAATGTTTTACCTGTCATTTAGAAAAAAGTATTTACAAACACATTATGCAGTATCTGTTACTGGAATCCAGAATACCGAGTACTGACCAAAAAAGATATTCGGTCGGATACCAAATACAAATGTATTCTAATACCAGTCAAATGTATTTTTAATAGAATTCCAAATACCAAGTATTCGAATATTACCCCAGCTTGTTTGCATTACTTTATACTAATACATGATTTGTGATTCTCAAACTGTTGTTTTTTCTCAGGAATCAAACAGATGATTAAAAAATGAAACTATGAACCAAAGGCCTTAAAACGTTATTGCAAAATTGAAAAATATGTCATCTTGCACACATGTGACTTATTTACAATGAAAGCCCTCTTATACCGTTCTTGTCTCACTTATCAAAGCAAAAATGTACAGTTTTAAGACCTCCTAATCGGTAGATAATGTGGAAGTGAAATTTATTTACCAAAAATAGCGATAAAATGAATATTAGAATGATAAACAAACAGGAAAGCCACAGAAGCAATCTTGAGCAGTGAATCTGCTAGTTTCAAAATAAAACAATATGTTGACAAAAAAATTGATTTAATTTTTAAATTCCAAAACTTAAAAATGTTTTACCTGTCATTTAGAAAAAAGTATTTACAAAAAAATTATGCAGTATCTGTTACTGGAATCCAGAATACCGAGTACTGACCAAAAAAGGTATTCGGTCGAATACCAAATACAAATGTATTCTAATACCTGTCAAATGTATTCTTAATAGGATTCCAAATACCAAGTATTCGAATATTACCCCAGTTTGTTTGCATTACTTTATACTAATACATGATTTGTGATTCTCAAACTGTTGTTTTTTCTCAGGAATCAAACAGATGATTAAAAAATGAAACTATGAACCAAAGGCCTTAAAACGTTATTGCAAAATTGAAAAATATGTCATCTTGCGCTCATGTGACTTATTCACAATGAAAGCCCTCCTATACCGTTCTGGTCTCACTTATCAAAGCAAAAATGTACAGTTTTAAGACCTCCTAATCGGTAGATAAAGTGGAAGTGAAATTTATTTACCAAAAATCGAGATAAAATGAATATTAGAATGATAAAGAAACAGGAAAGCCACCGAAGCAAGCTTGAGCAGTGAATCTGCTAGTTTCAAAATAAAACATGTTGACAAAAAAATTGAATTAATTTTTAAATCACAAAACGTAAAATGTTTACCTGTCATTTAGAAAAAAGTATTTACAAAAAAATTATGCAGTATCTGTTACTGGAATCCAGAATACCGAGTACTGACCAAAAAAGATATTCGGTCGAATACCAAATACAAATGTATTCTAATACCAGTCAAATGTATTCTTAATAGGATTCCAAATACCACGTATTCGAATATTACTCCAGTTTGTTTGCATTGCTTTATACTAATACATGATTTGGGATTCTCAAACTGTTGTTTTTTCTCAGGAATCAAACAGATGATTAAAAAATTAAACTATGAACCAAAGGCCTTAAAACGTTATTGCAAAATTGAAAAATATGTCATCTTGCGCTCATGTGAATTATTCACAATGAAAGCTCTCTTATACCGTTCTTGTCTCACTTATCAAAGCAAAAATGTACAGTTTTAAGACCTCCTAATCGGTATATAAAGTGGAAGTGAAATTTATTTACCAAAAATAGCGATAAAATGAATATTAGAATGATAAAGAAACAGGAAAGCCACAGAAGCAAGCTTGAGCAATGAATCTGCTAGTTTCAAAATAAAACAAAATGTTGACAAAAAAATTGATTTAATTTTTAAATTACAAAACGTAATGTTTTACCTGTCATTTAGAAAAAAGTATTTACAAAAAATATGCAGTATCTGTTACTGTATACTTGTGTACATATGATGATAAAATATAACAAGTTCTTAGAGACACTTTTTTAAAAATAAAGAAATACAAAAACAACTACACCGGATACTCTTCCTTCTTTCAATGATTTTTTGATACTTCGTAATGGTCACATTCTGAACGTACTATTTGTTTAATTACTGAGACATACGAGACGTCAACAGTGACCCTATAACAAACTTAAAAAAAATAACCTAATGCATTTTTGGGAACAGCTGTAACAAATACGTCTACAGTATATTCAGATAAGAGATAGACCGGATGTAAACAAAAGTTTCGGGTGATTTTCACGCTAACGCCGCCGTCTCGACGTAAAACAGGAGCCCTCATTGGTCAATTCGCCGAGCGGCAGAGCAGTCGTATCAAGGCAGAGTCACATTCAGGTTCAGACGTGTTACGTATGTCGTGTGCATCATTGCAATTTGATATTTCTTTGGACGTTTTCGTTTGTTATCTTATTAAGTTGTTGAGTTTGTCGTTGTTATTGTTATACCTTGTTATTGATTGTTATTGTTATCAACTGCTTGCGCAAAATGCCCAGTAGTACAGATACTGCCGATGAAGTTGTAAACTCCTGTAGTCCACCTAGGAAACGCTCTAAAAAAAGACACCTGAGTGCAGAAATGAAAGAGGTCATTTTGAATATATATAAGATCGAGCGCGAGGAGAATGAGGCATCAACCATCAAAGAAATTGTTGTGAAGGTTTCTCACAAAGTTGGGGTGTGTCGCGCATCAGTGTTTAATGTGTTAAGACAATACAAAAAAAATCACACCTTTTCTGAGCCAATGACCAGTAAACATCGCAAAAGTATTGTTAAATCATTGGATGAAGCTGATAAGTATGCGATTAGGAGGAAAGTGCATGAATTCTTCTTTAGGAATGAAATACCTACTATAGATAAAGTACTGCAGCAGGTAAATGGAGATACAACGTTGCCAAATTTCAAACGATCAACTTTCCATGCGTTACTGAAGCATTTAAATTTCAAATGGAAAAAACGGGGTCGTAATAGTTTACTACTGGATAGAGAAGAAATTGTGCTATGGAGGAGGGATTATTTAACAAAAATTGGGAAATATAGAAATCAAAACAGGAAGATTTATTACCTTGATGAAACGTGGGTAAACGCAGGACACACTACAAGTAAAGTATGGGTTGATGATTCTGTAACTTCATCCAGGAGGGACTTTCTAGATGGACTGTCCATCGGATTAAAAAATCCAGCAGGTAAATACGAGTAATAGACAACAATCGGATGTTTTTCAAACCTTGGGAACAAGGTTCTAAACATTAATTCCAGGGGGCAGATAAAACATATTACAAGTAACAAAACTTTTATAACTTTCGATAAAATGCGTGGATGTTTTATTGTCATTTTCATTTGTGAGAACTTTTTTAAGCCATGTTTTTATGTGTTTTCGATATTTCAATAATTTTTTAATATAATCTCAAAATATGTCGAATATTATAAACTTAAAAAAGTTACTAAGTTTTATATTGTGTACCGTTCCTAATATTTCTAATAATTTTAATTCATACTTTAAGCTTTATAAAGTTATAATTTGTTAATATTAAGATTTGCGCGTATTTTAGGTTCCTGATCATTCATTTTTTAAAGGTTTATAACTTTAAATTAAATTGTGAAGCGCTGAGTAATCATACGACGTTCAATATTCTTTCTTTCAATATGACTAAATAATCCCAATTATAGCAATCTGATACTCATGTCTCAATGTTTTTTCGCTTATTGAAATAAATCTACACCAGTTAGTACTTCGATTTCCAGGTAAAGGGAAAAGGCTCATTATCTGCCATATTGGCAGTGAGGATGGATTTGTTGTTGACGGTCTGTGGTGCTTTGAGTCTAAGAAAACTGGAGATTACCACGAGGAAATGAATGGCGAATCGTTTGAACAGTGGTTTTCAAAAATTTTACCGAACTTAGAGGAAAACGCAGTAATTGTGTTGGATAATGCGCCTTATCATTCTCGAAGGATGGAGAAGGTCCCAACAACGGCTTCAAGGAAAGTTGATGTTCAAAATTGGCTCCGCTCGAAAAATATCAACTTTGAAGAAGCAATGCTGAAAGTACAATTATTAAGAATTGTCAAGGATCACAAGGCGGAATATCAAAAATACGCCATTGGCGAAATGGCAGCAAGTCAAAATAAAACTGTGCTCCGTTTACCTCCATACCATTGCGAGCTCAATCCCATTGAGCTCATATGGGCAGAGGTTAAAAATTATATAGCTAAGCACAATACAACTTTTAAATTTTGTGACCTCAAAGGACTTTTCAAAGAAGCACTAGAATTAATAACAGCGCAAAAATGGGAAAACTGTATTAAGCACGTGAAAGACAAAGTTGAAAAGAGAATGTGGGAACTGGACAATATTTTAGAGGAACAAGTCGAGCCATTCATTATTGACGTTGGTGCTTCAGGCAGTAGCGATGATGAAAGCTCATCAAGCTCATCTTTCCAATAAAAGATGTCGTTCATCAAATTCGGTAAGTTATAAGTAATTATAAAGCTACTGTATTTTTTAATTGATTATTGACATTTTTGAACCCATTTTGGCAAAACCTATTCAAGAATCTACTTTCTGACAATGTTCAACCATGCACATTTTTTTACGTTTTGAACGTTTTAATTTGGTTACATATTTACCTAGAAATCAAAAAATATACTAATCAATATTCTAAAAGCAATTTTAAGAGATATACGATTATTTTTAATTTAGGCTAATTTAAACGCCATTTTGAGATTATATTCGACTGTATTTCACCAAACATCAGGCGGCATCCGAAGCTGGAAATCGAAGCGAAAATTTTGAAACCCTTATGTATATTTACATCATTATATATTTCTTACCCCACCCCCACATGATCCTATATCCATCACCAATCGTATACACATCGAATTGTGCTAATTTACTACAAAGTTACGCAAAGCAGCATCTACTATCTAAAATATGTACTGCGTGACTCTTAATACGTCCCTGCCGAATGTTATAGCGTTCGATGATCACGTGGTCTTGTTTATGTCCGGTCTATCTCTTATCTGAATATACTGTAGAGCAAAAGAAACCTTAATAAAGACGCTACCTATACATTTTCTGAAAATGTCGTATTGATTTACACATTTCACGCCTTGGAAACTACCGATGAAATTAACTCCGGATGATTTTTCAATATATGCTCCTCTAACCACGGTCTGTCTGTAGCGCTGTACGTGCAGCTTTTACACTGATATTTACCCATTCGCGAATCATTATGTTTTTTCGACATATGCTCCGTAAACTTTTGTTTGAAAATGCTTTTGAACGAACACATCTTGCATTCGTGCAATTTGATTGTTATCGTGTCAACATTGTCCGGATGCTTTTTCACTACATGCTCGTTGAACGTGTCGACGCGACGATAAACAGCACTGCAATACTTGCACGCGAAAACCTGAGGGCTAGGTTTAGCTTCCCGGTGTTTCCGCGTGTGTACAGCCAAGTTTCGCTTGTATACGGTTTTGAACGGGCAAAATTCGCATTCGTACTTGGTGAACGCCGCGTTTTCGCTCGAAGTCGGATGCGTTTTCAACAAATGTCCGTCCAAGAACCACTTCCTTGTAGTTTTATACGCGCAGTATGCGCATTCGTGTATTTTACCCGAAATCGACGACGAAAATTCCGGGTGTTTCCTGAAAATATGATCGCCTAACGCCCTCTTGGTCCGGAACGAGCAGCTGCAATGTTCGCAATTCGTGAACTTGATCTTAGACGCGTTTTCCGGATGCTTCAGCATATGTTTGACCAAATTACCGGAGTCCGTGCTTTTATACGAACAATTTGAATTCGGACAGGCGTGTATCTTACTCGAAACGGAAGCTTCGAATTCCGGATGTTTTTTCAAAATATGATCATCCAACGACGCTTTCGATTGATAAGAAACGCCGCAATGCGGACAAACGTTAAGTTTGCAATCGGAAAACGTTTCAGGATGCTTCAATTTGTGCGAATTGAACCTTCTCGAACGAGTAGTTTTGTACAAACACACTGGACATTCGTATATTTTTCTTGATACAGACGCGGTAAATTCAGGATGCTGTTTCACTATGTGTTCGTCAAAACTGTCTTTATATCGAAACGTGGTGTCGCAATGCTCGCACTTTTTCAGTTTGTGAGGAAAAGACACGAAACACGCGCGCATATGCCTGATTATATGATACTTTAAAGCAGTTTTGAACGTACAATTCGCGCACGCGTATATCTCGGAAGTAATCGAATCGATAAAATCAGGGTGTTTTTTCAATATGTGATCGTTCAACGTGCGGATGCTAGGGAAAATTTTCACGCAATGTTTACAAACGCTAGGCTTTTCATCATCCGGGTGTTTCAGCATGTGTCTTTCCAACTGATCTTTTCTGGTCGTTTTGAAATCGCAAAATTCGCAAGCGTGTATTTTGCTGGTAACGGACTTGCAAAACTCGGGATGTGTCCTCAATAAATGATCGTCTAAGGAACACTTGCTTTTAAATGTGACGGTGCAATGTGGACACTTGGATTGCTCGTTAGAAGATCGGGAATGTTTCACACGGTTATGTTTGCGCAAATACGTTTTCGAAGTAGTTTTGTACGTACAATTTTTACATTCGAAAATTGTACGTGTAACTGTCGAGGTGAAGTCCGGGTGTTCCCTCAGTATATGGTTATCCAAAACGGATTTTTTTTTAAACGTACAAACGCAATGCGGACATTTGAACGGTCTCTTCTCGAGATGTTCCAAAGTATGTCGATCGAAACAAACCTTTACCGTAGTTTTGTACTCGCAATCTTTGCACACGTGGATTTTATTTGTAACTGAAGATATGAAATCCGGATGTTTTTGCAATATATGATCATTAAGTGCATTGGTTGTTTTAAATGTTCCTTTACAATGTACGCAGGCTTTTCGCTTCGCGTTCAATACATCGCACCTTGTCTTTGAATGACTGACTAGTCTGCTCTGGAAGGCCGTTTTGTATACGCAATTTGGACATCTGTATATTTGACGATTAATTGTGGAAATTAAATCAGCATGATTGTTGATGATATGTTCGTCTAGCCAAATATGTTTTGTAGTGGTAACATCGCATCGTGGACATTGCTTTTTTGTTGCATCTTCTCTGGTCGATCTTCTGTTTATTCTTGCTAGCCTCGTGGAATTTTCTGTCTTCACGTTTGACGAAACAGTCGGTGGAGAACAGTCTTCTTTCCATGTGCTGCAAAATACGTGTCAATAATAATAGTCGTCTTTATTATGTGAAGCAAAAGGAGTGCTCTTCCACTCAATCTTACAAAGATCTAAAACTGGTACAAATTAATAAAATAATGAAAATAGAAAATATGTGTTGAATCAATTAAAGAATAAAAATTGAATATATAAATGATTAACATTTCATTCTTGCCGTTTTGTTTTTTTTTAATTACAAGATTTAATTGTCTTCTTAAATGGGAGCTCCCTCATCCCCAAAAACTCCTGAAAGGGTTCTATTCCTTAGCTATTTGGTAGCTAAATACTGATATCTACCGCAAAAAAAAAATAATCATGGATATCAGCAAGAACATTTAGCATCAGGCAGTGTCATCGTATGTCATAGAAAAACATTAGTCCATATTTATAAAAAAAAGTTTTACCTTTTGCTTTCAAAAAATAAAGCAATTCCTTCAAAGTGTACTAAGTGACATATAAATCCGAACACCCAGTTTAAATGGTTTTATTTTAATAAAAGTTGGTGAATGTATTTATCTTACTGTAAATAACAAGTGAAAAAATGTTCAGCCTTATCAGTTGGACATTCCGGTTTTTATACTGCTTTTTTTAATTCACTAACGCTCTAAAAATGAATATTTCAGCCGCAGTAAAGAATCAACGTTGGCGGATTTTGGTTCTTGACATCCTTTACGATCGGTTACGATGCCTAGAGTACGGAGACCTGTACGATTTCGTCAACTTAGTGAGTTTGATAGGGGCCGTCGGGAAGCTGGACTTTCTTTTCGGGCAATTGCAGTTAGAGTGCAAAGAAGTGTAGACACTGTGGTTAGGAGTTGTCAGGCATGGCTTCGAGAAGGCCGTACGCAAAGAGCAAGGGGCACTGGACGCCGCCGTAGAACAACAGACCGTGAAGATCGCCGCCTAAGATTATTGGCCTTAAGGGACCGTTTCTCCACTACCAGGTCCATTGCAAATGAATGGTTTGCAGAACACGGAAGACCTATTGGCATGCGAAGTGTTTACCGACGAATGAGAAGTTTTGGCTTGTTTTCATACCGGCCATACTGGGTCCTCTCTTTAACCACTGGATCTGTGTCTACTAATCGCCGTAATGGAGAAAATCGACCAGTTAGATATGAAGACGCAGAAATAGCAGTTTTGGGACAAGTAACACTTGACAACACCCAAAGCACTCGACTGAAATTCTTCGATAAACAAATCGACAACAAGTGCGACGGTGTGAAGATGGGGAAAAACTTTAAAAAGACCTTTAGTAGAGACATAACGCTTACCCGTCCCGAACTGCATCAGTTGTGACATCATTTTCCTCCTTGATACTGAATTCCCCAGTCAGCTGCTTAAGATCCAAAGGTACATTGACCATATTTGTATATGTATCTGGGGTTTCAATTTTGACTTTAGCTTCTACATCTCCAATCTCGGTCTTCACAACAGCTGCGTCCGTATTTGCTTCAATTTTATTCAAGTTTTCCATCTTCATATGTTCAGACATCATCCTACAGTAATTCAAAATGATAAAATAATAAATGGCCTCTATTTCACCTGGCATTTACATCAGCAAAAGCGGTTTCTCAGAACCAATCAGGGCTAAAAAAAGTACAAATTGAAAGAAAAATACAAAGAGAATAGAATAAAGAAATTAAAAGTAGGAAAAAAGTTGTACAACATAGTAGGGTATACATGGAATGATTGCAAAAAAAAACGTCCATCCATAGAATTCTTAACAAGCTCAGAAACCACGCTTAGAAATAACAGTAAAAATTGCAAATATGGCCGTTTTCGACCAATATATTTGCATCGTTAACTGAGTACCTGGCTCTCCAACAGATTGAGCAGCGATAACACCAACTGCTTCACCTATTGAAACAATTTTACCAGTTGCAAGGTCTCTTCCATAACACAAAGAACACACACCAGGACTTATTTCACAAGTTAAAGGCGATCTAATTTTTATAGCATCGCAAAAGTTTCTATTTAGGTATTTGTATTATACTTATATTGTGTTCAAGTATCTTTATTTAGTACAGAGTGCCATCTATTATCAGAATCGGCCACTGCTGCTATCAGTTGGAACTGTGAAGATAAAGGATAGTTGGTACACGTTCATTGAGATCAAGCCTAGACTATGCTGATGAGTTGCCAAAAACATGGAACAGCTGGCCATGGTTGGCTGTCTGTGTTTGGGCAGATGAAAGCTGCATGTTCAGTTGTTCAATATTATACAGAAAATGTGAGCGTTTTTAAAATACAGACCACAATAAAATCGATAGTTCTGCCACAGAAGGTAAATTTTTGAGATCAGTTCAGTTCTTGAAATGTTAGCAAATTTTGTTTTATTCCTTTACTTACACAGTTTACAAAAAGGAATTCCACAGGTCAGGCACAAGCAACAAAAAATACGTATTTTGTTCGAAAAATAGACAGATATTTTGGAGGGTGATTCCTTGTTAAAAAAATATGAAAAAAAGTTTGTATAAACTTGGGTCCGGTAATGCAGTTTTCAAGATTCAGGTGATAGATATAAGTGTTTTTTTCTTTAGTGGTATCTTAAAAAATGTTTACTTGATTCTGTTGAAATTTGGCAATATTATTTGTTCTATTAAGAGGATAGTTTAGCCTTAACTAGGTCCAATGGAGTCCTGGGGGCGAATATTATTGGCAAAAAAATGTATGTCACTGCCTTTTTTGTAACTTTAATATTTGTTGTTTGATTAAGCATTTAAAAATACAACTTCTTTGCCTCTTGTATTTAAAAAATCACAAGAATTTTGGAAAGTATAAATTAGCCTCTTAGTTCAACAAATATTAGATACTAAATTTCAACATAACTGAGTAAATATTTTTTTAAATATTTAATAAAAATGGACCACCCTGTATGTTGAACACTTTTTCCATATTTTTTAGAATATCTCCATCTATTTTTTGAACACTCTGTATATCACAAAAAAGGTATGGTCAACTAATGACTGCTTTTCCTTAATGAGGGTAATTCCAAAAAGTTACATTAAAAACAATAAAAAACTCGCATTTAAGATTACATTGAGAAAAAGATAATTTTACTACAAAAGAGAAATATACATACTAAACATGTTGAACCTTTAAAATGTTAGTTTTATGGGTGTTGGATATGTATAGATACCTAGAAAAAAAGGATTCAATCCTCTAAAAGACATGAGAAAATATAAATGTGACATTACATTAAAAAAAATGATTTTTTCAAGTAGATAAAAGCAGCATGTTTAGTTATCTTTATTTACATCTACTATAAATTCGTAACAAAAAATAAAAAAGCAACTATCAACGAAAAACTTGGTATGTCTATTGAATCTTTGCCATTTTATTGTAGATGTAAATAAATATAGCGAAATATGATGGAATGGCTGAAATCAAAATTTTAGTTTTTTACAAATAGCAAAAGACCAAACCAATAGAACAAGTGAAAGTGATTTAAGAAGAAAAGGACAACTTTGTAGTACAGCAAATCTAGTAACTACTGTGGGTATTTTGGAAAATCAATGCCTGGATTTTACATTTTGTATAATTCAAAAACACTCACCTTTCTAGTATGACATCCGAGTTAACTGTTGCATCACTTTCGTAGTCTGCAGTATCTTCCCTTGTTTCTACCTTTGGTTCCGTTGTTTCTATAATGAGCAGGTCTTCGGTTTTCACATAATCTGCCACACCTTCAGCAAAATCCATATTCTCTGATTTTACTTGCTCAGTCTCTATCCTAAATCGTGTTAACGAATACATTCAAAATTAATAAAGACCTAATATGCTACAATACGAATAAGAATGGGTCTTTCTGCAAAACTAAGAATTATCATACTGACCTATCACAGTTTTTAGTAGATTTTTTGTCAATCTCATCTGAAATTTCTTCTTTAATTGCCACTTCCTGTTTGACTAAGTCTTGAGGGCTTGGTCTGTATATAATAGCAGCTTCCATCCTAATAATAAGAATATAAAAAGCACTCCTAGATATGCCTTTAGGCTCTCATAAGAGAATTTGGTCCGAGTAATGATAACATGACCACGCAAGGCAACTATTGAAATGTATTCTACTAGACTCTAGAAGGCTATCCGTAGCGAATTTTAGCAGAAATCGTTTCAGAGCACTCAAAAAAATGCAAATGAAAATTGGAAAATTGCCGCGTTGACGTTCTAAATGTTGCCGTCGGTACCCCCAGATAGACATCCGTCTTGACAGATAACCTTGTCATTTTTGTCACCTTGATTGCGGCGTTGCCAGCTCATCGGACGATTTTGATACCTCTGCTATTTTGATAGAAGTTATAAAAAAAGAAGTTTTGAATACAATATTGAGGAATACCAATGGAGATATATAAAATTTTACACGTAGCAATGTTTGCCAAAAAACTAAACAAAAGCGTCTAAGCGGCGGAAGGTTAATGTCTCTGACATTTTTTAAGTCCTAGTTTTATTAGATAGAATACTTTTTGACAACAATTGCAAAAAAAACAATTTTTTATTATGTAAATATATTTATTAACTATTTGATCTAAAACATTATGATCATTAATAGGAGATGAACGATTTTCATTTTACTATACTATTCATTAGCATCCGTCTTATATGCAGAGATATGAGGTAGGTATTCATTTTGAGGAATCTAAAATGGAACGCTTGATAACTTGAATCCAACTTATAACACGTCGATCATGTGGAATTACAGGCTGACGCATTTTGGACGCATCACATCCCTACTCTTGTTGGACATTTGGTGCCCACGTAACCTCCAACAACCAAGGTAATATTAGTGCACGTTTCTGTGAATTTCTTTTTATAATAATGTATTACAGGGTGGCCAAGCTAAGGATCAGACTAGGTTAACTTCAGTAATCAGACAGTCTTACATCAAGCATTTGTTTGCAACGCCTACTTAAATAAAATGAAAAAATAGAAAAAAAAACGTATGTTTATAACTTAAAAAAAAATAAATGTAACGTGATACTTCGTTGAATTCGTAGAAAAAGATGCTAATAGATACAGGGTCGTACTTTTTTAAATGTTGTGCACTTCGGGCATATTTAAAAACACCATAATGCAGTTCCATTAGTTTATTGACATGTCTTAAAATAAAGTCAGACAAAAATAAAAACGATTTGGCCAAATTTTAGTTTTTCCCAAATGTGTGCAATTTATTTAAAAAACATAGGATATCAACCCTAGCACACAAGTAGATGAGTATGCAAGGCTCACCTGATTTGCTGCACATGTATCCTGTTTCCCTCAGAAGAGTTGAAAGTAGACCTAATTTTCACTTGACACCCACGTCACAACACTAAGACACCACTGAGAAACAATCGAGAAACCTATAGTGAGCACCACTACTAAAAAATAGACCGAATACAGCTCAGCACGGAGCTGTGAGCGCGTGGACATTCCGCTGCGCCGACGATTGCCGAGAGACTGAAACGTGTGAGTGCTGTACCCTCGCTGCGGCGATACGGTACGGCCGGGTAGTATAGCCACGCCCCTTTCCAGCTCCCACTCCGCGCGTCTGCGTTTTCTTATCTGACAGTATCGCGAAGTGACTCGATCTTTACGTTGACCAAGAGCAGACGCACGGACTGCAGAGCTGTATTCGGTTTAGCTAGTTTTTTGCCGACAGTCATAAAATGGCTATAAAACCGAGAGTCGGAGGCATGGGGAAAGAGACGAATCTGAAACTTTTCAAACATTTTCTCTTGCAAGTCTGGATGAGATAAGAGATGACTGAATCAAGTTGTTAAAGTAACGTTAAAAATTCATACCATTAACCAAAATATACGTATGTATGTGATGGTAGCGATGTCAAAGATGTAAAGTTAATTACCTAATTTGCTATGTTGAGGAGCGTTCTTCCAGAAACACGCACTTCAAGATCATTCACGCTCTGCTGCATCGCGCTGAATTAACCTGCGTGCGGGGCTTGGGAGGGGGGATCAGGTCTTCATAGCGCAGTCACATTATGTGAACTTGTTGCTATGGCAGTATCGAAACAGCGCAATTTTTTAGATTTGTTACATTCAAACCATTTGTATCAAAGTATTGGAGCGTTTTAGGTTATTGCACATTGCCCAAATGTATAATTTATACAGATAAAACAGATTTCATTAATATTTATACCGTATAATATAATGACCGTACTATATGGCGGGTCGGTAACACAAGGAAGCAGAGAAAACATTCTAGCAAAATTGTTCGATGAGCTGGCAACACCCCAATCTAGGTGACAAGATTGTATGTCTATCACGGGGTAACGACGCAGACGGATTCAAGCAACTGTCAATCACAAGTAGCAGGTATGCAGTATGTTCGGCAAAGCGAGTTTTATAATGTGATGACTTTTTATAGTCGATATCGAATGTTTTTAGTGTACCGCTTGAAAGAACGAAAACATATGTCTTTGATTATTTAATGTAAGTGACGCAACTTGGTGTAATCACGGTCACCAACACGGACATTGTAGGTTCCCTAGAGCTTCCATACCTTATTTAAAACTTAAAAACCAATGTGTCTGGATATTAGTATGTCTAAAATAATCTCTGCCATACATTTGGATTTTATTCGAATGGAAGAGGGAGATATTTGACATTATTCACAATTCCGTAAATGTCAAGAGTCATGTGTAGTGATGGGTTTTTGAATTCGATATTCTGATTTCAGGTATCGAGCTGTCTGGCAAGAACCGGGACGTCCGTGACTGATCGATTTTTTCAGACCTAGCTGACAACGTGGCAATTTTATGCTTGAAAGTATTTTTGGAAATATCTGTTTAATTCATATTTTCTGTTCTGGTTCGAATACGCTTCAAATGGAAGACAACATTCACAGACGATACATTTTTATTGGCTGTAAAGGTTGACAATAACGTTTCATAAATAACAACAGATGAGTAAATGCCTCGACATTCGACTAAATATTTGTATAATTTATACAAAATCATTCAACATAATGTGCTAGATAGAACCTAACCCTAGGATAAAACTGCGACCATTTTTCACTCATCACTGTAGAACCATCTCCACCAGCACACCTTCATCCTGTCCCATACGTTATCGAAGCTGAAAAAGAAACAAAAATATATTGCGTCGACGAAACAAATTATCAAAAAATGTGCATCAAACGCAATGACACCTGAATTTAGATAATCTGTATACCACCACTAAAGTACCCCATATTGACAAGTGACACAATTCTGACGTATCCGTCAACGCTAGATCTATATTTTGTTGTCTTTTGTATGCTTCAGATTCATACTTCCGAACCAAGTTTTTAATCAGACAAGTACCTTCGCACACAAACAAAACGCTGCAAAAAAATGCAGCTAATGATCACGACTATTCCAAATGTTTCCAACTGTAGAAAACTGTCGTTGCCAGCACATGCCTATTATAATTCCTCACCTATCCATAGCTGGTCTGACATCGAGCAATGCGAACTTGTACTTGTCATCAACGGACCCTCCGTCATAGTAATCGATGACGTATCGCACGTCTTTACCGCACCGATCCACTATCCAATCGTGTCTGTCAAACGGTAGCTCGTACCCCATCAGCCATCGTATTCTAGCGCGAGGACTGTATTCTGACGCTTTGCCGCCAAAACTCTTCAATCTGAAATCAAATACGTTCTAAGGTCGATTTATAAGCTCTGAAGTTGCGCGCCGCTGCCGTAGCAAAGCCGCAACGCACAACTTGAATCACGCTCTTGACGTTAAACTGTTTATAAACAGGTATAACACTGGATGTTATTGAACTTTACAGGTCCTTCAAATTCAATAAGAGCGCCGGATCTGATTTTGAAGAAAAACACAATTTCTTTTCGAATTAAGCGAGTATCAATCTTTCAACATGAAGAGTAATAGTTGCGATTAAACATAAAATAGGATATCCTGTAAATAGCCACCACGAAACCCCTGGCACAGGCTCAGTCTTTTCTTAAAATTAAACGATTTTTTTCCCAAAGTACTGTATTTTTTAGCAGTTATTTCCCCCCATTACTTCCACAGCCATCTACCATATCACGTTGACGTCTATGGATATGTCATATATGAGAGGCGCTTGCCTGCGGTGTTGCCGGATTGGGCTACATATTTAGGGAAAAATATGAAAAGTGGAAAATTTATATATACATTTATATTAATTAATGAAACACAAAAACAGAAAACTGAAACAAACAACAGACGTAAAATTAAAAGTGATTCTGACTAAGTTTAAAACAAAAAATAACAAACAGCAGTAAAATAAAAAGCAATTTGGATGGAAATTGTTTTTCGTTTTACTACTGTTTTTACTTTTTGTTTTGTGTTGTCACTTAGAATTGCTTTTTATTCAACTCTTTATTTTTTATTTCTTATAATTACATGGGCTTCTTTTTCTACTGTTATTATTTTTTGTTATCAATTAGAATTGCTTTTTATTTTATCGTTTGTTATTTTTTGTTTTTCATAATTACACGGAATTGTTTTTTGTTTGTTCTACGACTGTTTTTATTTTTTGTTTTTTATAATTATTTATAATTTATCATTTTTTAGCTTACTACTGTTATTTTTTGATTTATACTTGTCAGGAATCGCCTTTTATTTTGCTACTGTTCTTTGTTTTAGTTTTTCGTTTTTGTGATTCATTCAGATGTACATGTATATAAATTTTCCACTTTTTATATTGTTCCCTAAATGCGGAGCCCAATCCGGCAACACCGCAGACAAGCGCCTCTCAGATATGACATATGCACAGAAGTCTACGTCATACGCCAGATAGATGGCGGTGGAAAGAACAGCTAAAAATAGTGTTTTGGAAAAAAAATGAAAAGCGTGCTTCATCCACACTTTTTTTGTTTCTAAATAATCAAACTACCCTCTAAAAGTTTTAAGAGAAATCGGAAGATCTACAAGACACAACAGCTCCGAAAATGATTTTCTGCGACTATATTTTCGAGGGACCGACCAGGACGGCGACGAACAGTGGTCTTCACATTCAGCAACGTCGTTTGCAATTAAACGGCGAACTGACGACTCATCTGGCGCATTATTACGACCGAAAATCGTACGTAATTTTCGAACTGCTTCCGCGTAATGTTCTCCTTTTTTGTAGCGAGTTTTCACGATAATTAAACGTTACTCATTTGAATACTCCTCCATGACGTGTAATCGCGTGGTCTGGACATGACAGCTGTCATCAAGTAAACACTATACCATTTGTAAAAAAATGGCGGCAAATTCAAATCTGACAGTCTTGTTGAAACACCGTTTACCTCTCGCTGAAATTTCTCATCTCGTCCAGACATTTTCTTGCATATGTTAGGCTAGGTTCAGACGACGCGCGTTCGCGTCAAGCTGCTTTGAAAATAAGCAGAATTAAAAGTCGATTTATAAACTCGATGATCCGCACCCCTGCCGTACCGTTGCCGCAACGTTAAACTGTTTATAAACAGGAATTTCGCAACACTGATGCTAGACTTGATGATGTTTCAACTTTCTGGCGTTGCCATTTCAGATTCAAGCAACAAAAGGGAGCCTGCAAATCATGCGTTTGTTGCGACAGTTTTCTTTTGTAATCGGCATGGCCTCCTTTGAGAATAATTTGAAAGTATGTGTGTTCCGAGTGATGAAGACACTGCTTCTATTCTGCTGCTTCTGGTGCGTGACGCATAATCTAATCCAATATTCTTTTTCACATATTTGAAGACCAATATCGTTTGATAATTCATATTATTATTTAAATGTTCAACCTCAAAGGAATCCACGCCGATTACAAAAGCAGACATGTCATGTCAAACAGAGCGAAAATAACGCAGAAAAACCACCTGATATGTCCAACAAACACTTGATTGGTCGAGTCGGGAACGGCAAAAAGTAAACATTTCATCAAGTGCGGAATTCCTGTTTATAAACAGTTTAACGTCAAACGCATGATTCAGAAAAAGTCAGAGTTTATAAATCGATCTTGAGGGTCGTTCCTACAATTGTAGGATGCCTTTATGGTCTCCTCGATTTTCATAGTTATCCACTGTTCCACTTTAGAAACAGCAACTCCTATTTTTAAACCTGAATTTGAAACATTATATACAAGTTACGATATTAGACGAAAACAAGACCTTAAATCAGAGGTACCCAAATCAACACTTGACAAAGATGCAATACTTTATCTACAGTCTGAAAACTTAACATGTTATCAAGAGAATTAACGATTCCAAAAAAAACCCGCCGTGAACTTGAAAACTTTCCAGTATGTAAGCCATATTGTCCATATGTGTACAACATATAGAATGTTGTTATTGTTTAGTTTTATGTTAGCTTTGCCATTAAGAATGATTCTATTCTTATCTATCTGTACAAATCCTTTAAATTTAACCTTGAATATTTTAAATTACCTAGGATGCAAACACTCGTCAGCATGCAACGCTTCCCATTTCAACACTTCCTGCCAGGCCTGTTCATTGTTTGCATTGTGGATTTTTATGATATCGTTCATATCTTTTGGAGATATATCCTCATCTTTCCACCGCCATCCTTTTCTCAACATTGCATTCCAAAACATCTGCAAACAGAGGAATGAAATAACCACTTTAAACACACAGAAAACATTCAATGGTTCAGAGTTAAATTCCTCCAGGGATTCTTTCGTCAAAATTCTGATATGTATGAAACCATGATACTGACCACATCACAGCTTTAACGTCTTTGGCTAATATAACCTATATCCTATATTATGCTGGAATTAAACAAGGATAATATCCCAGGTTTAGTAAGGCTATTGATACAGCGAAAAGTTTCACCTTCAGACAACCTTGGGTGAAAATTTTGACCTTGACCTTATCAAGGTCATCGTAAAAACTGCTTCAAAGGGTTTTTCTGAAGACAAAGCAAAAATAAGGACCCAAAGACAACAGAAGTGACACTTTTTCTCTGATTATCATTAATGACCTTGAAAGTTAGCTTTATCACAACCTTGATGGTAAAACTGATATCAGGATTTTATGTACTGGTACCCTATGCATTAGATCCAGAAAAACATATATAAATTTCTAGGTTAACAAGTATAGGGAACTGTGACAAAAATCATTTGACCTTCAACGTCAGTTTCAAGGTCACAAGTGAATAGCCAAGAAATACTTTAAGCTCTTGCTGTACTTGAACCCCCGCTTTTACTTTATCTTTAGAAGCATGTCTGAGATTCTGTCTGGGTTTTTTTTTCACGGTGACCTTGACCACGACGTTCAAGGTAAAAACAATTTTTAATCAAGGTCATAGGTAAACGTAAAATTTGTGTACCTATTGCATAGGTCAAAAGTATGGCCAACCATAGTAGACAATTATGTTGACGTTCATTTGACGGTCAGAATCGTAGTAAAGGTCACCAGTGAATATCCAAGCAAAGTTGGAGCTCCTGCTGTCTTTGAACCTCTGCTTTGCTTTATCTTTAAAAACATCAATGAGATTCTGTCAACCAAGAGTTTTCTCACGGTGACCTTGACCAGAACATTTAAGGTCAAAATAATTTTTAGTCAATGTCATAGATTAACAAACATTTTTGTTCCACCTGTTGCCTATGTCGAAAGTATGCAGTATCATTAAAGAAAATTACGTTGACATTGATTTGACGGTCAGGGTTAGTTTCAAGGTCATTAGTGAAAAGTCAGAAAAAAGTGCTTCTCCTGCTGCCTTTTGGGTCCTTCAAACTTGTGTCTTTTTATGACGTTCAAGGTCAAAATAATGTTCATCCAAGGTCATACGTGAACATAAAATTTTCCTATTCAGTACCTTGATATTCTAGAACTCTTGACACATCTTGTATAAACAGTAAAAGATATGTCTTAAAGTATACAATCTGTGTTATTACTAAAAAAAATTATTGAGACTACTGAGTATCATTTTTACCTGAGGACTGGGGTATACCCAAAATGGACTTTCTCCTTCTTTTACTATGGCCTTTGGTATGGATGATGTTTGACGATCAGTTGACAGAGGAAATGGTTGTCCTGGAGCTGGACTTTGATTGGCTGGACCCATCTATACATTAAAAAAACAGTAAGGATGCAAAATTCACCACAGAGTGAAGAAAATCATACCAAAAATGAGAAATAAACACTCTGATTTTTTTACATCCTATACCTATGGATAGTAAAAAATATATTTTGACATACTAGATACACCATCTTTAACTGCAATGTAAAGAAAGTATTCTCATCACAACGTCCTGTAAAACTTTTGGTAAAATTGTTGATACCTGAACTTTTTTGGAACCATGGCCTTATATGACTATTTTCCAAAAGAATTCTCCCTCTTTTATGTGATTAATAAAGTAAAAAGCATACAGACTACAAAAATCAAAACCCATCAAAAACAATCTATGAATATGAAAATTCTAACTTCTGATAAATTTGAAATGCTTTGAAAAATGTTAGTGGATTGAAAAAAATTGATTTTCATGAAGTTAGATTCCTGAATATTTTTGATTTGTCCATTTTAAGCATAGTTCTACATTTTCTCTCAACAAATATTTTAAAAATTCTACGCAAATTTGCCATATGGAACACGAACATCCAAATGTAAAAAAAGATGTGTGCCCAACTTGAACGTTTTGGAACAAAAAATAAAGCTTTGCACAAAGCAGGTTAAAAATTGTTATTTTCACAAGACGAGTATACATACTTGAAAACGATTTTCTAAGCAAGTACATTAAAAAATGTATCTGTAGAGGTTTCAGCTCAGTTCAATGGACTTTTTCACAAACGTACTTAAATCTACAATATTGTATTTTTTTATAAAATTATGTAAGGCTATTTTCCGTAAGAATTCTCCCTCTTATTATGTGGTTAATATAGTAAAAGGCATGCAGACTACAAAAATCAAAACCCATTAAAAACACTGATGAAGACGACATTAAATTTTTTGTTCTATATATCAAGATTTGGGTACAATGATAAGGATTCTCCAATGTTTTTAGATGCTCTGACCTTTATTTTCCTGTCTCATTTTGAGCCCAGATCACAATCATAGCTTGTTTGCTAGCATTCTACACAAAAGACACCAAAACACGAGTTTCAACTAACTTTTATTTCACACAAGAATTCATCACAGATTGAACACATCTAAGAGCGAAACTCACCATATTCAGGGGGTTTATATCCCCGCTAGCCCCTCCTACAGGGCACTCCGAACCCAGAGACAACTTCGGTTTATTCTGGGCGTGCATTGGACACTCTGGTGGGATTTCACCTTGGAAATGTTGGTAGTTTTGGACATGGTGGTGATGTGCATAGTGATACGATGGAGGCGCATTCGGATTCACTATTTGCGAGGCTGCTATCTCCGCTGCAGATACTGTGTTACCCATTTTCACCCTTTCCTAAGGTTCGGTCGGTCCTGGAAGTTAGGTTAGGTCTATCAAATTACATAATAATAAGAATTCATGGTAGATCCGAGATGTGGAGCGAATGAAGGATAGTTTTTCGTACATACCTCGAAATGTTTCAACTTAAAATTCTTTTCCTGGATGATTCTTTTCGAAAAATTTCATCTGATTTGAAGGGCTTTTGATGTTCGATTTTGTTATTTGAAATGTCAACCACAGAAGGTGCTGATAAGTATAAATAGGCAACCAGTAATACAGAAAGATAGACAACTAGTAATACGGAAATCCGTATAAGATATTACATACTTATAATATTTATATATATATAATTTATTTATATATAAATATATAATTTATTTATATATATATATAATTTATTTATAATATATATATATATATATATAATTTATTTATAATATATATATATAATTTATTTAATTTCCTAAGCAACTATAAAATTTACGGTCTGGTATGAGGTGTTGCAAGCCGCGCCACCTAAATTCAAAATATATTAATTTGTTGTATTTATGTTTCAGATTTGACATTCATAATTTATTTAAAGTGTTTTGTCATATTATTTTAACGATACTCGGATTTTTTGAAGACGACAAAAGTACGTAGGTTGATCAAATTGGTCTGATACATCGCACTTACTTCTAGTAGAAAGTTTCGAATTCCAGAGTGGGCAGATATTAGACATTTAAAACGAACTTTCCCAAAATCCCTTTTATTCTGTTAATGTTTAGTTTGCATTTTAAGATGAGATTTCAAAATAATTTTAACGTTGCCAGATTTTTGTTAGATTTAAGTAGCATTTCTGAAAAGAATATGTGACGTGAAACTTTGGGGTAATTAAAATATGGTATACTAATTTGTTGGTTGTCCATGAGAATTATCCAATTTATATCAAACCTTCTTAATTTGAAAATTATGACATCCTTTAGGTAATTAAAAAAATAATTACATCTCGATACACGCTAAATACAAAGAATGTATTTCTTATATAAGAAATCACATAACATGTACTTACTATTTTACGATTAGTGATTGTTGCATACCAAAACACATGCATATTTTTCAAATAATCAATCGCGAAAACAAATTTATTCTCCAATGTTCCTCATTTTTTTCTCCGCCCATAAAAACAAGTTTTGATGTGCCTTTGCGGCGATACGATATTACCATCACAGCATATCTTATATAACACGGCAATGGAACTTCCCTCGTTAAATTTTTGTGGAGATTTATCTTACCTTGAAGATATACCTACAATGCAGATATACAGTATTCCGGCGTCCAAAAGTGGATTTGAAAGATTCTAGCGCCATCTATTATGAGACAGTATCAAAACACAAACATGAAATCTACTTTGAAAAGAGTTAAAGTGTTTGATTCTCGTACTGACTGATAGATGGCGATATGATCTTCAATAGCTTTTTGGAGTCTCGCTAATGTTTATTTTAATTGGGTATTTTAAACTGGAATACGTTAATCAATGCCTGAGGATACCAAATTCAAACATCCCAAAGGGATTGAAGATCGTAGCTTCACCTATGACATAGCAGAACCAACCACTCTGAAAGTAGATTTCTAAATTAATTCATTTTTGTGTTCTACTACTGTCACATCGTAGCGCCATCTATGAGATACTAGCCTGAACCAACCAGATTTCTAAATTAATTCATTTTGGTGTAGGATATTTGAGATCCTTTTTGGGCTCCGGAATACAGTAAAATTTGGCTTCTTCAACTCAGTGCTGCCATATTAGGGGATTGTTCTCCAAATCTGAGAGGTCTTTACGTCCCCTGGGGAATTTTTGTGGGATAAAATGTTCTGGGGATTGTTTGGGGGAAAAATACATTCGTTGGGTAGTTTTGGGGTATTTTATACGATCTATGAAAAACTGTCAACTGCTAAATTACATTTTTATCCTTGTCCCTTGTATCCCATATGTCGTAGAATAAGTCACTGAATAGTCAGGTGATGTGCGATATCTTCGGGAGTTTGGTTGCTGTGTTGTATTTGATATACCCTCTGGCATCATCTTCAGTTTTATGCTTTTCTGTAATCCTTGCGAGAGGTCAAATGGTAGATATAAATTTCTAGCTTGAGGCAAAAGACTTTAGAAGTTGTTACGTAACCAAACAAGAAGTAATCATTGAAATATTTTCAGATGTACCTCAGCGAAGAAAATTAAAGTCGTGTTCCATATTTCCTTCCGTTGTCACAGATTTTTTTAAATTTTAATAGCAGATCTCCGCCTATAATTATAAAATTAGATGGCCATTTCAAGCGTTATTTAATAGATAAGGCTAACTAGCGAAATTATTGTCCGTGTTGTAGAATATACTTCGGCTTCATAACAGGGTACCTATTTCAGTATAGTGTTAGGAAAAGTTAAGAGCCGTCTTACTATAATAAAGTATGAAAAGGAAGTTGATGCACGGGGTGTCATTTTTTGATATCAGAGTAAATTTCTCGACAAGTCTCAAAAGAAATGTCGCATTAACATGTACAATTTACAGTAGTTACGGCACAGATTATACAGATGCGACATCTGCTGTCAATCCCTTTGATATCCGTGTCCCCAACTGCTTATAACATTCCTCTTATGTTCACTAGCGTGCGGAGGATTTTTTCCTAGGGGTTGTTACGCGTTATTAGCAAGACGGCACGAATGTCATATGTCAAACAACATAATCAAGAAATTTATTTGTGTTCGTTTACCCACATGCTTTTTGGCGAGATAATTATTATTATTTCTTGATAACCCCTCAATCCTAAATCTCACAGCAACACGTATGATACTCTGTGTTTACGTCATATTTAGTAAGTTTGAATGCCAACATCAATGCAAAATAAATCGGAAATTTCTCGGGTACATTTATGTTGGTAACAGTTTTCTGCTGTTGTTTATTTGTGGTTTATTTCCTAGGATCCAGTAGTTTTAAGTATGTGCGTTACTGTCATTATGTGACGTTGTGACGTAACTGCTTTGATTAAGCGAATACACTGTACTTACAAGGAATCACTTTCTCAAATATCTCCTCTATTTTTCGAACACCCTGTATAACAGAGAACGTTTAAAATTCGGTATACGTAAACATGTCTTTCTGTTAGCACATATTCCTTTTCGCGTTTTTAACAATAAACAATTGCGTATTACGAAATTATTCAGGTGGATATTTCATCTCCTTGGCACTCTTTATTTCATGACGTGAAATTGTGTGCGAACATTATACAAAAAATATTATACTCAGATGTGTAAGCGTAATTTCTATTTGCTACTAATTTTTTCAGAAAAAAGGCCCCCTCCCCCCGTCGTCTGAATCCGCCATTAGGTGGGTACTGACCAAAACGCTCATATATGATATTGAAGTTGGAAACCATGCCTCTTGGAGTGTACGAGATGCGGCGTTGCCAAGCGAACCAATGATGCAGTGTTGCAGAATTTGTGGCCTTTCACTTCGAGCTAAAATGGACCGATCCGGAATCAACCCTAAACATATTCGACACAATTCACAATTTAAAAATGTGTATGCTCAAAACAAAACCATTATATGGGCTTAAAGAATAAACCAACGCATATTTTCAATGTACATCTTAATACAAGGAACTGACGTAACACATTGGCAACGCCGCATATTGCCACGTTAGCGTTGCTAGGCAACGCGGTGATGAGCTTCGGTATCTAGCCGGCCTCTATCTCTTCCCAAAATATGTGTCTAGGTATATGCACTTCTCTCTGGTACATCATCTTGCGCTTTTAAAAACTGGTATCGATATATTTGGTTGTTCGTATGCTAGGTACTGCAAGAAATACTATTATTTAGGGCCGTATCGTCAGTCGTTCCTACTATTGTAGGACGCCTTTATGGCCTACTTGATTTTCATGGTCTTTTCTATGCTTCAGAAAGGCTGGGGTATTTCTAGAGTTCTACTACATTCGGTGTCAGCGTCAGCACTCTCATATTGTGAGGTTATGTTTTCTTTTTGACTCGAAGGAAATTTCAGGCTATATACAGGGTGACTTCGAAGTTGAGTCATTTATTTTAACAGTGAGTAGATCTGATCAAAAGAAATGATTTTTCCTTTACCATTTTTCTGGTAAAATTAAAGTAACAAAGTTATAGCCCTTTGGAAGTTTGAGTACCGCCCTGTCTCAATAATAATATTATATGCTCGTGTTTTTCAACCACGGATATAATCCGCCTTAACGGTTCATCGCATCGGAAACAAAAAAGCGAAAGAATCTGGAACGATGTTTTTACAATTATTTTATTCAGTTGTATACAGTCAGTGTCAGTCGGTAACGCGTGAGTGAATAGTGGTGTCTGTTGCGTCGCTCAAACGAAATCAAAAATGGCACATGTTTACGAAAATTCTGAACTTGTGGACATGATTTTTATTTACGCGGCATCACGGATTTATGCGGATCGGTTTCCCAATCGAGTGCATCCAACCCCTCGTGCCTTTGTTAATGTAGTACAAAGGGCTCGTGAATCAGGTGACTTAAGACCTCACAGGGGAGGGCATGCCGGTGCTCCAAGACCGCACGATCAAATACAGGTCCGCACTGAAATACTTGTCGGGAGGATACTTTATAAAACAAGGTACCATTTTTTTTATTTTTTTTTTATTTTTACACACATATTTTGGTTTATCTTCCTTCTACAATCATTATCTGAAAATTAATGACTCAACTTCAAAGTCACCCTGTAGCAGCTGATATAAATCAAACGCTTGAACATTTGATGCAAATGGATATTTGTAACATAACCTCAAAATAGAGCGCTGACACGGAACAGTACAAAACTAAAAAACTATGAAAATCAAGGAGGCCATAAAGGCGTCCTACAATTGTAGGGACGACAGACGATACGGGTCCTTTCTATGAAATAAGATGTTCTTCTGTTAATGATATTATAAAAGAGATAGGCAATGTTCTATATTCCTGTCTATCACGTTCTAATTTTATCACACTTCACAAGTAAATAATTGTCACAGTAACGCCATTTCCATTTACTAAATTATTGTCCTACCAGGTCACAAGTCAACGCTTTGATGTTACATAACCTCGCCGAAGAGTTCAACTGTTATGCTTGCGATTTCGATCCCATAGTCTACTGGATTCGTGTATCTTCTTCTTCACTTTCACTCTACTTTTAACCTTTCGACCCGAACACGGTGAGCATAGAACGGCGCTACTTTTCGATTCAAGACTAAACACGATCTTCGAAT